TATATATACAATGCTATCCTGATTGGATATATCAGAAGCTAATTTGTTAATTTATATAAAGTACTTGATGTTTCATTAAATTTTTGGTGTGAAGATAAAAAGTTTAGATAACTGTTTTTGTGATTTTAGAAGTCTGAATCTGAAGAGACTGATGCACAAAAGCCTCACACAAAATTGAGAAGAACCATGTCTGAAAACCCTCGTCCTGCTTCCACACCCCCGACACTGGCCTCTGGAGAGAAGGACGAAGGAGACGTGGAGAAAATTGTTGCAGAACTGGAGGTACAGGAAATCATCATTAGAGCTCATTGTGAAACTTGTTGTGTTTGTTATATGCAGAAAACTGTTTTGCACAAAAGGAAAGTGCTTTTTATTAGGTAATGATGTTCTGTCCGCAGTATGTCACCTGATTTTTAGCGCTCACTTTACTCTGAGAAGGTGAGTGCACATCAGCTCATCATCATTACCACATGTTCGACCAGTAGGTGCCATATGTCCCCCCCACCCGCCCCGCCGCCCCTGGCTCAGAGAAAGCCCAAAGATCGCATAATGCTCAGTCGCACACATCATCACCCAGGACTCACAGATCACACACAGACAGATGGACTCTGATAATTGCTTGTTCCGTGTCTGAGACGACCCGCCTGAAAACTGATGAACAAAAACCTAAGAATAACTTATTTTTATCAGACTTTTTTTTTCTTGTCTCGTAAATGTTTGTAAATCTTCATTTTCCCTCCCCAGCTGTTTGAGAGAGCCCCGCTCAGGCTCTCCCACCCCACTCCTTTGCCTTCCCTCCCTGTTAGCCCGCGCAGCAGGGAAAACACTCCCCCCTCCAGGTTGGACCTGTGGCCCCTGCAGACCTCAGTCCTCACTGAGGTAACACTCTGGTTGAACCTGACCAATCTGGACTGCTGTGTCTGTGCTTCCTACCCACCCCCACCCCCACCCTCACTACTGCTCAGCCTTTGGCCACTTTCCCTTTTTATCCTCCTCATCTTAAAGGCTCAAAGAAACAGAAACCACCTTTGATCTTTTTTTTTTACATGATGTGTTTAAGCATTTAAAAAAATAACCCAGATTCTTTAAGGAAAATTCATATTTTCTCACAATTTTTACTTTAACAGTGGCAACAGTGTCGTATTTATGTAGTAACAATTTTTAAAAAATGTAAACAAATGCAGAGCCATCGTCTTTTTCAAAGGTGACATTAATGTTTTTCATGAGCACCTAAGATTTGTTCAAATATACAGTTAATAGCTCTAAATGGTCAATAAATACTGACATTTATCATAATTTTATCAGCAATAAACAATAAAATGTTAAAGTTATGTGAATATTTCTCACTGATTGTCGTTTGCATGTGCCTTTGTGCATAATGGACTCCCAGCTACTTGCACAGAAAACATCGTTATTTGAACAATTTCAGCTCTTTTATGTCTTGAAACAGACTTTTCTTTCTTTGTGGCGTTTCTGAAGATAATGATGTGGTTTTTTTTTTTTTGTTTTGTTTTTTGTTTTTTCCTTGTGTTGAATGCCCAAAGGGGCAGATTGTATTCAGGCAATTTTAAAGTGCCTGAACACTCGTAAATTGCCACAAAAAAAGGCAGATTATAAACATAGATTACATGTAGATTTAAGATGTTTCTTTTCTTGTTTTTCTGGCTTTCAGTATGCTGTGAACATTTAAATGCTTGTGTACTAATTGGTCTAAAGATCTACTTTATGTTTATTTTTATACCTTAAGTGCTTTGTTTATTCATAGGGAGGAAAATTGTCTGCGGTCCCTCACATCGTGCTGACAGAGTGTTTGCCAGCTGCTCTCGCTCCTTCACAAAGTCCTAGGAGAGATTTAGCCAATTATCTTGTGGAAGAGAGCCCAACACGAGATGTGAGCGGTCATCACGTCGTCTACAAACCCACAGTTTTAAGGGAGGGGCTTTCAGGTGAATGTGCTCTTCAACAGGAGGAGTACCTTTTGGATGGAAACTTCAAACAGAAAATGGCCTTGCTTTTGACTGAACGGGAGCTGAGGGTGGTGTCTCCTCACGAGGCCCAGCAGCTTTGGAGGACAGGCAAAGTTCTGCAGACTCTGACCGTCTCGTCACAAACTAAACCAATCTCTGAAGCTGAGCTGAGTGAACGACCTGTCCTCATGCTCTTTAGAAAGGAAAGCACTCCCAGAGATGCCTACAAATTGCTCCACTCCCTGCTGGAGTTGTCTAAACCGGTTCCCAAACCCAGGGTGAAATGTTCCCACCAACCCAGCCAGCAGAGCTCCCTGCTGGAGGCTCTGGAGAGAGGGATGGAGACCGGGGACAGCACGGTGATGTTTCTCACTGATGAAAGTAAAACACAGCAGAGCTCGTTGGATGGCAGCTCTGTGGACAGTCTCGTCAGTCGGAGGAGGATGACACCAGATGTTCGACTCAGTACCTACAAAAGGCTGGACAGCTTGGAGGAAACCATTCGGGAGCTGGAGAACACCTTGATCGAGATCGGTGGCCATCCGACAGCAGACGATCTCTACACTGAAGCAACCAGAACCTCACCGAGGACTGGCAGTCTGACTTCAGAGACCAGGAAGCCAGCAGTCCCACCGAAACCATCATCCATCCAGGTTCATTGCTTCTTGTTGCCGCGTGAATTTTCCGCTCCACTTCCCCTCTTTTGCTTCTTCTCTGCGGGTGTCTTCTGGAACTTTACTCTTTAAGCTTCTGATGTCTGTTCCCTGATCGGATTGAAAATATGTTGACAGACAACAGACTTCCTTTTCCATTCTGTGCTGAGAGGTGTTGCTGCTGTCCTGCTGAACCCAGAGTGATTGATTATCGATCAAATATGACAGGCTTTTTTTGCCAATTTAGCTAATTTCACCTCTGGTCAAATAAACGTATAAATAATGCAAACAATACTATCTTCTTCATCTTTTCCTCTAGTCATTTCTTGAACAATAGTTCTGCTTACCTTCTCTATTTTGCTCGAAATCAACTTTCTTTCCCACAAGCAAAACAATAATCTGTTTTATGTTTAAGCAGTCTAAAGGGCATATTTTACATATGTTAAAGGAGACATGTGCAAAATCCACRTTTTTAGTTGTTAAAGGTATTTTGTTGTGTGTGTGGAGTCTCTAGGAGCGCAGAGATGTTGAATTTAGTTTCTCCTGCTGGGTCAGACTCTGGCTCCAACATATAAGGCTGGATGGACAAGTCTTCTCTTGTTGACATCTTTTAATTCATTTATAAAGAAAATGTTTCTGTGCCAGTAGATTGTCGTAAATTCCTCTATCAAGCCAGAATAAACCACTCTGGAAGCTGGAGTCGGGTGCGGTGTGAAAGGCCTCATTTGGATTTAAAGAGACAGCCTCAAAACGAGTTGATCTGAGACATGACTCAGAAAAAGAGTGAAAGAGGGGCTTGTGGAGTTACAATAAGTAGGAATTCAGACCAAAGCAATGCAGGTCCACTTTATATAGAACCCAACTGAAGGATTTAAATGTGAAAAAGAAGAAAATGATTATAGTCGTTGTAAATATACTTCCTCATATTTTTAAACTGGCTTCACAGAGGCAAATTTTATCAGTGTAGCTGAAAAATATTTCAAAAAAATAGTTTGATATAATTAGTTAATATTATCATGGTGATAGTAGCTGTGATAAACCCACATTTTCCTAACTTTATATTCTGTCATCTCCATTGTCTGAACCAGGTTTGAACATAAAGACTACTGAAGAGCCCATTGTAT